TATGGCTCACAATACTGTCTGAGATGTGAGATGCTTTCTTCAAGTTGGGTCCTTGGCTCCTCCACATATTTAGATTGACCCTCGGGAACAGAGTAGAGTGAAAGCTGCATACATTAAAAAAAAAAAGAAAAAAAGAAAAAAAAATGTAGACAGTAATGAGATAATGATCAATTATCAAATTTGTAAGCATCATATTTTTAATAATTCATGAACTGTAAGGACTCTAATGGTTACGTGCACCCTGAACCTCACTTCAGAGGCTCTCTGCACCTTACTATTTTCTTAATCAATAAGGTCAAGGCCAAGAGGGCAGGGCTATGTCCTACGCTCCCTCTGCCCTACTGGTAGCAGACAAAGCATCTCCCCGCTTATATGTTTTATATACTGGAATTTGGTATTCCACCTTAGATTTAGTTTGGAAAAAATATAATACTAATCTAAAGGGTGGGTTTGGTGGGGGGTAAAAAAGAAAAGCTTTAGAGTAACTGAAGAGCATGTTACGTAGATCAAATGATCAGTCTAGGGCTAAAAAAAAAGCAGAATAGCACGTTTATTTTTGTTCCCCACCCAGAGAAGAAACTTTTCACAGCTACCCTTGGTTGCCTCCTTCACCCTCAAAAGTGCCACTGTCCCAAGGCTTGAGAAGAGAGTAAAAGGCAGAAGATAGCTAATTAGCTTTATGTAAACAGTTCAAGTAACCCTGCTCATCATTGAAGGTACATCTTTATGTCACCTTACTCAAAGTCAATAGAAACCAAATACCCAAAGCAAGCAGTGGAAGTATAGACAAAAAAGAATGTAAACAATGGAGAGAAGATCTGTTTTATTTATTTAGTATTTATTAAGCATCTATTTATGAGCCTCTAATTCAGCCAAGAAGCAGAATGAAGCTAGGTCTTTAATTTTTTAGAGAGTTAAAGTACACATGTTTTCTTGTCTTGATCTAGACAGTCTAGAATCAGGCAGATCATTTAGAGGGGAGCTATGCTTGCAATCTACTGGGACATAACAGACTCCCCACTAAAAATCTAGAAAATATTGTGTCCTAAGCTAACTACCATCCATTAAAGTTTATCTGTTGAAAAAGCTAGTTTAGTAGCTTCCCACATAAAAACAAACTATAAAGAAATATATTTCCTTCTAGTAAATATCTTCTAAAATGTCATATCTTCCTGATATATAATTTGTGTACTTTCTACAGTAAGTAAATCAGACATTCAAAATATGTCACAACATGAACAGCATGTTACCTCATTAACCTTCAAGGAAGTTTTGTGAGGTGACTCCTTTTTCTGTGATGCATACACTTTGAAGGTGAGCAGACTCAGGCTGGCCGGCCTCACGGACCTCTGAATTACCTGAAACACAGAAGCAATCTTAAGCTGCTTTTCAATGCTATGAACTGAATGTGTTTAACATGGGCACTTTTGTAACCTCAGCCACTCCTGCCCTGAAAGGCTTACTGCGTTTTTTGAGAAATAAAGGTCTTCCTGAAGTTTTATGGAAGCCAGAACCTAAAAAACATGTTCTCATGGGCTTAAAATTTCAGGTCACCTTGAATTCCCGAAAGACAGTAGTTTCTAAGTTTTTCTGCTTGTCTTTCAAGTAAAATAAAAGATATGTACATACATACCCATACGTACTTTTAGAAATCATATGGAATAAACTTAAAATTATAAAAGTCTCAACCCCCCCCCCCCACACACACACATGCACACACATGCCAACACAAGGGAAGACATTTTTAATGATTTTACCTAGTAATTCACTGAACAGAGTGGAGTTTATTTCTGTAATTATAATAATCAAACTTTCAGAAGGTTTCTCTTTCCGTTCCTATCCAGAGCTGGTCTCCCCAATCTCAGTTCCTGAACACAGTCTCTTTGTGTCCTGCTGTCCCTGACTGGGTCACTCAAGCCCATGGCTTCGACATGAAGCCAGCGACTCCCAGATATGAAGCTCCAGCCCAGAGCTCTCTCCTGAGCTCCCAACTCAGTTATGCTATTACTTCTAGACACTTCTACTTAGAAGGGACAGCAGCTCCCCAGACCAAGCATGACTAATAAAATCGACTCATCAAGATCTTGTCTGTGCCTCCAAGTCCACACCAGGCCTGATGGGTGGATGTGTGCTGTGGAGTCAAGTCAGAAAGCTTCTTCTTAATAATCCCCTCCATCTACACAGCACCTGACCATCGAGCATCTTTCCCCAGGCCTGCCTCTCTTCCTCTGCTTCCTCTCAGGAATGGTGCCACCACCCAACTAGATGACCTGATCAGGAACTCTGAGGTCATCTTCACCATTACCTCCCATCCTATTGGTAACTAAGTCCTGTTAATTCTGCCTATTAAATGATCTCAATTCACTCTCTCTGTCCCCTCCTGTATAATCTTCCCTTGAGCCCTCATTTCTTTCTTGGACTATTTTAGCAGCAATCTAACTGCTCGCCTGGCCCTCTGATGACTTGAATCACTATACCGCAAAAGAATGATCTTTCGAAACTGCACACTTGGTTATCTTCAACCCTTATTTGCGATCCTTCAGTATTTATTACCTAGGACTTTTATGTGGGTCAAATGATGTCCATTATGATCTGACCCCAGTCATCTCCTCTAACCTCATCTGTCATTCTGCCATCTCCCACAAAACCTGAACCTCCTATATGTCTCCCAAATTGTTTTCCAGCATCATGGGTTTGCACATATTGATTCCTATGCCTAGAATATTCTATATTTGCTTTGTCTTTCTGTACAACTGCCTAAAAGCAAGGAAGATTCAGGATGAGGCCGTGTCTTACTCTGTATTCCTAGTGCCCATGACTGTGCCATGACAGGCACTAGCATATAAATGCTCAACAACTGTTTACTGCCTGCATGAAGGAATGGAAATGAGGTGAAAAATAAATGAGCAGATGACTTACTCTAACTACACAGGCATGATTAGGCATCGCAGAAATCATATCGCTGAGGTTTACAGTGCCTGTAACGTGAAAGACTAGGCTATTCTTTAATACTCACAAAATATAAATCTCAGATAAAACATAACAAAAATGTCTGGTGAAATGTATGCCTGGAGTCACACAAATAAAGGAAATTCCCATATTTTAGAAGCAAATAAATAGCTAGAAGTGATTTAAAAGAGTGGTTATTACTTTAACTGCTTTAAAAATAATTAACACACCCCAAAGTACTAAGTGTTCACCTTGAAAGGTCTTAATTTCAAGGCAACATTGCTACATATTTCTTTTGCTTCCAGGGTAAAAGTTAGCCAGCTACTGCTGACTTAGTCAGTATGGTCCCTCCCCGCACCCCAGGAGAGGGCCAGTTAGGCTGCTGGTATCTAGAGGTGGAAAGTCAGTGCTCTCTGCCCTCTGTGTCCTTCTGTGACCTACTAACAACACTGCTTGAACTGGGGACTTTCCACTGAGCCAGCTGGCCCCGCCCCAGGCTTTGTTTCCTTTCCCCATGACCAGTGGCTGGGCCCCGCCCCAGTCTACTCCCCATCCAGCATCGGAGCCTCCAAGCATCTCGGGTTCATATTGTCCCTTATCTTCATCCTCATTTGATATAATGCTTTATGTTGACCTTTTGAATTCTCAGTCCTTGCTTCAATCCTTAATTCTACTTTTCACATATTTTATTTTTCATCTCGTGGCCTTCTATTGTTTTTTGTTCTTATTTATTCTGTGTCAACTTGTTTACTTTTAAAATGTTAACATTTTATTGAACTCGTGATCAATTTCTACCTTATTTTTTCCTCTTATCCATTTTTGTTTTAATATTATGCTAAGCCTGCCAACTGTATTGCCCAAGTTGTCTTCTTCCCTTTCTCCTATTCATCTTCCCTACTAGCCCACCCTCACTCCCGTTCTACAGCAAGAACTGTGGCCACAGGGCGGTAGCACATAAGAGAGCCACCTCCTGCAGCTGCCCTTTCAGCTTCCTGGGGGCTCTCAACAAATAAACAAAGTTAAGAAAAAGCAAACATCATCCCAAGAGATTTGGGAGATCCACAGATTAACACTCCCCAGGGCCCCAATTCTCTTTGCAGAGAGGACAATTTACTTCAGGGTTTCTCAACCTTGGCACTATTGCCATTTGGGGCCAGGTCATTCTTTGCTGTGAGGCCATCCTGTGCACTGTAGGAGGCTTAGCGGTGTCCCTGGCCTCTGCTCACCAGATGCCAATAGCACCCCCTCCCAGTCGTGAGTCAAAAATGTCTCTAGACACTGCCAAAAGGCTCCAGGGGGGCATCCCCCTGCATTGAGGAGCAATGATTTACTTGAATAAATATTATTGGTGACATCTCTCACCATCCAGACTTTAAGAAAATATGTGTTTAAAAAAATGTATGTGGTTTAAAATCCATAGTCTCAAACCTA